TAATGATGGTCCAATAATGGAACTGGCTAATTTCAGAAGTTTACAAGGAACTCTGTCCAATCCAATGGTTGTTTTAGTGGGTTGTAAATAACTTTCAGGGTCGATATTAGAAGGTGATAATTTACGAGCTAGATTTGGTCCAATAGATGTGAAAAAATCGTTAAAAACCTCTGGAATTTCAACCGCAGAATTTACAGTTTCGTTATCTGTTTTAATTTCAGTGATACTGCGGTTTGTGCAAGATTTACGCGAGCTCAGTTCGTTAATTAGCTTCCAAGTTTTGGAAGAATTCTTTTTTATTCAACTCTAAATTATGCAAAAAATACTGACGTTTGGCTGACTTGATAGCATTGCTGGTTTCATTCCGCGCTTGCTTCTATTGTTCCCAACTAGCCGCGTATTGTTTTCAATAATAGCTTTCTTTTTTAAATAATTTCATTTGTAGATTTTACGCATCAAGCCATATGTAATCCACGGAGAATGTTTTTTTTGAGGTCCGCTTTGTTTTAAGGTGGCTGAACACAGTTTTGGCAGTTTGTGAGTCAGATGTCATTTACCAAATCATGGCAAGAGAAAGGTTCCAGCTCACAAGCTGAAACTTGGCAAGTAAAAAATATCCTGATGAAAGATTTTGATTGACAGGTAAAATGTGACGTTTTCGTAGTTTCCATGGCAACATGAACGATTGAATACAACCTTAAAATTTCACTTTTGCTCAGTTTACATAAAACTTGCTCATTAGATTTCCCTATAAACTTGCACACAGCTTACTATATTTTTAAATCATTTCCGTTTGAAACTTATTTGACTAAATTTTAACAGACGGGTTTTTAGATAATCAATAATATACCAATTGTACTGTAATTATTAAATGTGTCACAAAATTCGTCTCTTCAAAATCCCTTTTAAAGTTCTCATTATTTAAAATACAATAAAAGTAAAACTACTGCCAAATATCACAAAATTTTAATCGGTAGATTTTGAGAAATCGTCTTCTGTGTACTATTGCTTTTTTCGCCGCCATGTTTGTTTATCTAACTTAAAATAAATACGCGCCGTCTCGCGAGTTACCGCTGACCGCCCGCAAAAGTGGGGCATGTTTATCGACAATTTAAATGAACAGTGTTTTCCAAATGCCATTTGACCCTAAGCTAATTAATCTTGAGGGTTTACTGTACGTTGGCGAATCGCTTGGCGAATCGCTTGGCGAATCACAAAGCATTTCTGGGGCAAATAACAGAAGGCTGCAAACACAACAGTGCCCGATTGGACAAGTGGCTGGAAATCCTTGCCGTGGAAGATTTAACAACGAAAGAACGGCGACCTGAACTTCAGCGAGAGAAGCGAAGGAGAAGACCGTTGCGATCATATAAAGTCCTAGAGTGGATAAACGCAGAAATATTGCGAAATCGTTCAGAAAAACTCGTTTAAGCTATTTTTCCTCACATGTATCTTTGAATTCATGATAAATACAGCTCCACAAGGTTCAAACAGTGTGAATGGCAGAGAAAAATACTTCAAGGCTATCAATTTTTAATCCTAAACTGTGCAGTGGTCGCATGGCCCAGTGGTATGAGGTCTCGTTTTTTGCACTGGAGGAAGTTGGTTTCAAGTTCATATACCGGGGCGCTACCTCCTATGTTTTACCCTTTGGCTTGTTTCTGTTTATTCTCACTGCTTTTGGCTTCGCGAGATTTTTGCGATAACGTATTTCTAATATATTGGTCACTATTCTACTAGTATTTACGCCAATTCAGTTGTCGCGATTCAAGTCAAAGGTAACCAAAGGTCCCTGAGTCCACGCCGTCTCGCGCGACTCGTTCTCTCACACGGGGAATAACTTCACAAATCGTCTTGTTCTTCATATTTTTAGGGAGTTTTTATTGATACAGTCGACTCCCGATAACTCGAACCCTCGCTAACACGAGCCTCGCGCTAACTCAAACCAAAATCGATTTTCCCTGGATTTCCTTCATATATTTACACTATAATTTTACCCTTAGTAACTCGAACCTTCCGCTAACTCGAAGTAATTTTTGTTTCCCCTCAGATCATTTCTATATAATTTTACCCTCGACAACTCGAACCATCTTTTGGGCGCTTAAAAAGTAGCGAAAAGAAAAGTGTACTGGCGTCAAAAACCGATTGATTTTGAATTTCACATTGACGTGTTGTAGTCTTATATTTTACTATAGGCTGGTGTTGTATGTCACAGATCTAAAGTGAAACAGCTTTACTTCCTAAAACACCGAGTATAACGTATGCTCTATTTAGGCTATGCTTGATACGTTATGTTCTGATTTATAATCTACACTTTCACTTAACATTTCTTCAATTAAATTTTCACTGTACAGTAAAAACTGGTATTTCCTTTACTTCTGGCTATTTGCTTCGAACGCCCGACAACTCCACCTTTACTCGATTTCCCTTGAAGGTTCGAGTCATCGGGAGTCGACTTTAGTTATAGAACAACTGGTTTCGAATCTGTTATTTGACATGCCGTATTTTTATTTGCTTTGTTTTCAGCCCTGGCCTTAAGATGCCACCTGTGTTCACCAGACTTGAGCGAAGTCATCCCCATCGCGGAGCAAAGTAACAGCACAGGCCTCAGCTTTTGTGCCAGTCCCAATCAAAGTCTAAATTGCAGCCAGAGGCTAGATCCATTTTTTGGAACCAAAATGGATTCCTGTGTTATAGGCAAGATCACATTGAACACATCCCTTCCAATCGGCGACATCGACATCTATTACCTCAACTGTGCCACAATGTCGAAATGTAGCATGCTTAAGAATCGAACCTGCCCTCTCTTAGAGTCAGAGTTAGGAGGTACTCCCAAGTTCGATCTCAAAAGTTGTGACTTCACATGCTGCCATGGGGACCTCTGCAATGCTCCATCAATATCCCCTTCGTCACCAGCGGCATCAACCGCTGAATATCCCGTTGGCACTGGCACAACTGCGAAGTCATTGGTGAAGAGCAGTGTTCCACCAACATCCGCTCGGTTTGGAGTTCTGATTTTGATGGCTTTGACTGCTGTGAACTTTTAGTAAAAAAGAAGCTGTCCCGAAGAGGGATAGAGTGCAAGACAGCAATTTTTTATCATCTTTAATTGATATAATTGTTATCCTTATTGTTATAATTTGTTTCTAACAAGTAGATGTTTTAAGAAATGGAGTGAGAATCACAATTTTTTCTGTTTTTTAATACGACAAACATTACACAAATTGTGATTCTGTAGCGAATGCTATGATTTCTATTATTAGGGGACGAATCATTGCACCATTGTCTTTTTAAACCCTCATTCTTAACTAAGTTTTCTATCAACAAGCAGCCACGGTGAAAAGGTATAAAAGCTAGATTAGAAATTCTCTGTACTGTTGAAAGAATCTTCATGCAGATTAACAGAATTTCAAAGTTGATGCCAAGCAGTTATTTGTATTTGCCTTGTCGGATGGGTGGTAACCTCTCATCTCCTACCACTACCCCTACATTCCCTGTTAATTTGATCATGTCAGCAAAGCAATAGCTAGCAATAGCACAGTGGAGCATATTGTGACCATCAGAATCTTTGATGCTAAGAGAACCAGTTTACTAGAATCAGTAGAAAATGATTTGTACTTCTTGAGTTTGATGTTTTACAAGTTAACCACTCAGAAAAATAAAGTACTCACTTTTGAATACTAGTGCAGTGGAATGGTCAACGAGCATTGATTTGTAATTTCAAATCAGTCTTGCGTTATGTGCTCGACCAGTAGACTCAATTTTGATACATTAAAATTCATACTGAACTTCGAGGCATGGGGGAATGAAGCAAAAGAAATTATGTATTATTAATTCATTGCTTAGCCTCACTCAGTCCAATTACCATCACTAAAAATTCGTGTGTTTTGTTTTTGCCTCAAAAACAAAGCCTGGGGACAATGTATGAATCTTTATAGCTCGAAACTGGCTCATTGATGCTGTCTTTCTTGTTAATAATATAATCTGTTGAATTTATTAGTCCGGTTACCGCCAGTCTGTAAAAATTTGTTGTTCACTGAAATGATTTTTCAAATCGATATCTCACTTGTTTGCTGCGCTTACTGGGGAGTTGTCGAATTGTTTGACAATAGCGAGACAACGTCCATTTTCCCACGCGCTCATTCATCAGTCATCTTCTATGTTTTCGGTGTTTTGTAAATGATAAACAAACAATTAACCAACGTGCTTTTATGACTGAGTATTTTCTCAACACGATGGAACCGTTCCGCTAACGTTAATAATCGTCGCATTGATCACACAAAGCGATACACCAAGTTAATAAGATTATTAGCTTTCAAATATCTCGCAAAGTTTTTCTAGGCCTTTCTGCCTCAACCATTCGCTCACACAAAGGAAGTGTCTTGTCTTTTTAACTCTTCAAACGATGGACCTGCACTTCAGAACTGATCACGATAGTGGGAAGCAGTTTCTTACGCGGATGTGGGGTGGGGTGGTGATGAAACGAAAACCACTCGTTTCTTTTAAAAGCAAAATTATTAAAAATATTCTTTGCAGAAATGTCTATAGCTATTTAAATAGGCATATTTTTAAGTGAAATATTGAAAAAGAAGAAATGCCCCACCCCCGGGCAGAGGTACTCTGACAAATTCCCCACCGCCAGGACCGACAAGAAGACAAATGTGCCATGGGGGTGGGCAGGTTGGCACGTTTGGATTTGACTAAGCCATTAACCCCGTCTTTCTTCCTAAGGCTTAATATAGTAAAAAGGGTGTGTCGTCACTACCTTTTTCGAGGTACCATTCTATACTCCTCGTTATCTTTTCCATGGCCGCATCCATTGCCCGAATTTTGGCAAATTAGTGAAATATTACCGCTTTCCAGGTAGCAGTCAAATCCCGTATCCAGCCAACCTATCGCGAGAATACCTTTCAAGAACCTTGCTAAAGGCTACTATGTAAAAAAAAACCAACAACAATTAATGTGAAAAGAGCGTGCTCCTCGACGGTACACAATCCTTTGGTTTTGGTCCCAATTTTTTGACAACGTTGATATTAATCTAGCCTCCTTTGCACACGTTGTACACTTCACAAGGCTTCGTGAATACATCTGCGAATATGTGGACGGTGGGAGGGTCAAATTAATGCGGCATTCCTATTGGTTAGTCACCACAAAATAATAGTAATGCCCAGTGAACTTCATGTATGGCTTATTCACAAAAAAGGTTAAAAAAAAAAGAAAAGAAAAAGAAAAGAAGAAGAACTATTTATCAAATACGTCTGACTGTGGTCATAACCTTGTTCTTTACAACTATGAGCAAACTAAGAGCTGAATTCAATTTTTACCTCATGTGATTAAATTTTGTGCAGTTAATTGGACAATA